GAGGGGAAGAAGAGAGAAGAGGGAGAGAGAGAGAGAGGGAGAGAGAGAAGAGAGAGAGAGGGGAAGAAGAGAGTAGAGGAGAGAGAGAGAGAGAGAGAGCCAGAGATAAGAGGAGAAGAGAGAGAAGAGAGAGAGAGAGAGAGAGAAGAGAGAGAGACACGAGAAGAGAGAGAGGAGAGAGAGAGAGAGAGAGAGAGAGAGAGAGAGTGAGAGTGAGAGTGAGAGTGAGAGTGAGAGGAGAGTGAGAGTGAAGAGTGCAGAGTGAGAGTGAGAGTGGAGAGGAGAGTGAGAGGAGAGTGGAAGAGTGAGAGTGAGAGTGAAGTGAGAGTGAAGAGTGAGAGTGAGAGGAGATGAGAGCGAGAGAGAGAAGAGAAGTAGAGAGAGAGAGAAAACATAAAAGGGGAGAGAGAAGAGAAGAGAGAGAAGAGAAGAGTAGAGAGAGATAGAAGGAGAGAGAGAGAAGAGATAGAGAAGAGAGAGAGAGAGAGAGGGGGGAGAGTCAAGCAGCTTCGGTTGTCGTGCTACTGCAAATCTTACCGTGACTTCGCCCTTTACATAGTCACTTTCACATTAGAGGATCACCAACGATCCAGGTAGACCATTTAGCGGACATCGCTAGATGCAGTCCGTCGCTATGTCCCAGATATTCGTGTAAAGTCTATAAGCGTCCTAGACCTGTACTAGTGAGCTGGGCTAAAACTACGCAGTGTGTTGTGTGTGTGTGTGTGTGTGGTGTGTGTGTTGTGTGTGTCGTGCGTAGCGTGCGTGCGTGTGCGTATGCGTGTGCGGTGGCTTGCGCGTGTGCGTTGTGTGTCGCGCGTGTGGCGTGGCGTGCATGCGACACACACACACACACACACACACACACCGGAGCTCTAGTTCCATTGAGGTCCGGTTCAGGGGCTTGCTTCGATAATGACGAGCAATTTCCCTTCATTTCCTGCAATCTGAAACTGCCAGCATTAACTTCTAGCATCACAATTGGGCACCTCAAGCACCTGCACTGTCGCTCTTTTAGAGAAGGAGCGAGAGAAAGGGGAAGAGAGAGAGAGAGAGAGAGAGAGAGAGAGAGAGAGAGAGAGCGAGAGAGAGAGAGAGATATAGACGTCCCAGAGATCTGTCCGCGTGTTCTCTGTGACACACTACTATAATCCGCCACAGGAAGTGATCCATTAGATGTGAGGTACCCCCGTGGAGACACTCAATCTATTAGTTCTACATGAACGCTTCGTATATATATACACATATATACGTATATATATATATGTGAACAATTAAACAAGTTTTACTTTGGTCTTCGTGTATGTATGTATATGTATCATACATCTCATACCTATATATATATATATCAAATATAATCATACATACATATATACATACACACGCATATATATATATATATATATATATATATATATATATATATGTGTGTGTGTGTGTGTGTGCAATTAGTCAAGGTTTACCTTGGTCTTTGGTTTAGGAGAGTTCGACCACTTCATCATCCCTGGGTGAGTTTTTTCAGCATACACAATAATCACGAGATCACAGATATATATACATCCGACCGCCTTCCCTCCGTATCACCACCTGGTAACGACACACACGTCTTTCTTCTCGTCCCTGTCGTCAGCGAACGAGACCTTTTCTGGCTGGATCACTCATCCTGGACACAACGCACGCACTACTACCGTATCTCATCCGAGAAAGTTCGGCCAGCGAAGACAGAGCGACATACGGAGAGAGCGAGAGAAGCGGGTGAACTACGGGGTTCCACAGAACAGAGCTCACACAGCCAGAGAGAACAGAAGTACTTCGCGAGGGATCTGGCGTGACGAATTCACTCGTTCGTCGGCGAATGCGATCCCCACACCGAGTAATCACACGATATATTGCAAGAACACGAAAGACGAAGAGCAGCAACGGTGGTGGCCAGCTATCACACCCAGCCCACCATCATCACCATGCATCACTGTCAAGGTAACGGTAGAGCAGCAGCAGCAGCAGCAGCCGTTCCAGCTTCACGCATTGTTACCGCTCACGACCATAGCGGTGTGAGTTAATTACAATTAGCACAGCGTACTACGTTAACGAGGGAAACGTACGTCGTTAATTCGTCATTAGTCACGCTCGCGGGCGTTCGCTTCAATGTGCCGTCAGTTTTCGCGGCCGTCTAGGAGAAAGACGGCAGTCTCTTAATTAATTAAAAATTCCAGTGGATCGCTCCTTAAGCAACGAACGCGTCTGCGTGGATAACTGTTCTACTGTTTGTCGTGCGGCGCTGGCGTAGTCACTCGTTATGTACGAACTTCGTACGTGTCTGTCTATCTAATTCTTCTACGGAATGTCACACGGGGATTGTCTTCTCACTGCCTATGTACGAACTTCGTACATGTCCGTCTGTCTGATCCTTCTACGGAATGTCACACAGTGATTGTCTTATCACTGCCTATGTACGAACTTCGTACATGTGTGTCCATCTAATTCTTCTACGGAATGTCACACAGTGATTGTCTTATCACTGCCTATGTACGAACTTCGTACATGTCCGCC